TCAATAATATTTCAATATCAACATAAATTAATTCATATGACCTATTATTACGACTAGCAATAAACATAATATCTGGTCATTTTTCAACTCAATGTAACCAGGTTTTCTGATCTGAAGATCTTTTAACAATGATTGACTATTATATTAGTCATATATATTCATTCACTTTGAGACTTTGGACTAAAAGCGAGATTTTACTAAATCTTTTGAACATAATTTTTTTTTCACTACTTCAATCGTCTAATGTATTATTTCTTTCAGCTCATTTTTTGATATCACGTACCATCATCTAAGAGTTGAAAAATAACAGAAAACGCTATAATATGTTCTGGAGGTAAATATTATTATATATTACTGAAAATTTAAAATAGTATATATCACGATTTAAAACTAAATAAATCACTATATAGCGACAATATTCTAATTTTCATTATACTGCCCTTTTATATGCTTTATAATTTCCATTTTCTCATGATATTGGAGTAGAAGAATATGCAACATATCCTAACGCCAAAATTTTTATATTTAAAATAAAGGCATGCATTTACAAGAGCATTGGGATTCATGTATATATGGATTTTTTACTTTGCTCACACTTTGTTGACTAAATATTTGGCTGGCAAATGTTGTAATGCTTTGGTTGGAAATTATTAACTCCTGAGCAAACAAGCAAACATATCAATAAATGATATTCTGCTATAAATTAATTTTGGGGCTTCATGTGAGAAATTATTTTGTTACATAAACAGAACATGTTTGTCAAACATTCTTAGATCCTTATGATTTTTGGTCTTTATTTTAAGTACTGATCTGATCCGGTCCATAATATTTGAAGTTTATAGCAATACCCTTAGATTTCGATGATTACCACCGAAACTATAATATAAAAACTTGACACTTGTTCTGCGGTCTTACATGAGTAACAAGGCTGCGTCTCCAATTTTTGTGGCACAGCAGGACCGAGAAGTGGCAAAATTTAAAAGCATGTGCCAGGTTGGTGACGCATTTATAGTAACGCCACTTATGTTTTATATAGGGGGTATGTTACGAATAGGTTTTCCTAGCTGAAATATTTATAAAAAGTGGGGTGTGACATTGGTGACAAATAAATGCTTGCGCCTCCAACCTGACACACATTTCAGACATGCATTTTTTCTATACACTCAATGAACAGAACGCATATTACTTGATTTGTATTAGTAATTTTTTTTAAATTATGCGAACCTAGTAGCACACAAACAATTTTTTAAATATTCGATCAAGATTTTATTTATATAAAAAAAATTTTTTTCTAAAACCTCTTTTATCTTTTTCGATTAAATTAAAAGTCAAAATGTCGACAATTTCTGACAAGATTAGAGAAAGTTGGTAGTCATTTTTTCTATGATTTAATTCTTTTATCGCAAAACTAATGTTTTCATAACATTTTAATAGTTGAAGCCGAAATGGCTCGTACACAAAAGAATAAAGCAACGTCGTACCATTTAGGTACTTTGAAGGCTAAATTAGCGAAATTACGTAAAGAACTTATGACACCTCAGGGAGGAAGTGGAGGAGGCGGTGGTGGTACGTTATTATCCACATCAATCAGAGTGAGAGAAAATAATTTAAAAATTTTTTTTAATATCAAATAAAAGTTCTACCCTTTATAAGCATTAACTAAATTTTCATCTACACTTCATTTGGATTAATAGCTGGATTCGATGTAGCAAAGACGGGAGTAGCAAGAGTAGGATTTGTTGGGTTTCCATCTGTAGGAAAGTCTACACTAATGTCCAAATTAACAGGAACATTTTCAGCAGTAGCAGCTTATGAATTTACAACATTAACAACAGTACCAGGAGTATTACAATATAAAGGAGCGAAAATTCAGATATTAGATTTACCTGGTATAGTAGAAGGAGCTAAAGATGGTCGTGGTAGAGGTCGTCAAGTCATTGCAGTAGCACGAACATGTTCTCTAATATTTTTGGTGCTGGATGTATTGAAACCACTTACACATAAAAAGATCATTGAATCAGAATTAGAAGGGTATGGAATAAGATTGAATAAACAGCCGCCAAATATCTATTTTAAGAAAAAAGAAAAAGGTGGTATAAATATGACCAATACTGTACCTTTAACTAATTTGGATCTGGATCAAGTAAAGGCTGTACTTAGTGAATATAGAATTCATAATGCTGATGTTAATTTTAAGTGTGATGCTACCGTTGATGAATTTATTGATGTTATAGAAGGGAGAATTTATATTCCCGCCATTTATGTTCTCAATAAAGTAAGTTATAACAACACGCTGGATGAAAGTTAATAATAATAAAAAGTAAAAAAAAACTACTTTTTTTTATCGTAGATCGATCAAATTAGTATTGAAGAATTAGACTTGATTTATAAGATTCCGCATGCGGTTCCTGTTTCAGCTCATCACGAATGGAATTTTGACGAATTATTAGATAAAATGTGGGAATATCTTAATTTAATTAGAATGTAAGTAAAGACAATATTGCTATTTGATTTTTACATCATAGTTTTGTTCACGCCTGTTGTTTATTGCTTAGTTACACAAAACCAAAGGGACAATTGCCGGATTATAGCGCACCAGTTGTTTTAAGACAAAATGTTCGTTCAGTTGAAGAATTTTGTAATAGTATTCATAAAGGAATTGTTAAACAATTTAAATAGTAAGTGTTTATTTATACGTAAATACATATAATTTGAACGTAAATACTGATATTTTATTCTTGTTGTAATAGTGCATTGGTTTGGGGAAGTTCAGCTAAGCATCAACCGCAAAAGGTTGGTTTAACTCATGTACTTAATGATGAAGACGTTGTACAATTAGTTAAACAATAAAAAAGTAGAAGTTTTATTAGGCAAAAAAAAAAGATATTAAAGGTCAAAGAATATAAAGATTACTCATCAGGATTATTATTATAATCTTGCTGTCAATTATTATTCTTTTTCTTTACCCTTATCATTATTATTATTATTATTCCATTTCTTTAATACAGAAAATTGTTGTTCAAAAGTTTCTTGTATTCTTTTGACCTAAATAAATACATAGTGGTAATTTTTATTCATAATAGTAAAATGAATGATTTTATCTGGATTTACCTTTTGTTCACCAATTCCGGGACAAATCGACATATCTTCTGGTGCAGCTTCCATAATATCTTTTAAAGACTATAACGTATTTATAACAGAAAGATTGAATATATGTGGATATAGCAGAGTTATATATTGAATATTACATACCCCAAATGTGGATGCAAGAGTAACTACATCTGTTTTATTAACAGATCTAATATGGGTCATACAATGTGTTAACTAATAAAAAAAAAAGCTCTCTATGTTAATATACACTAGTTAATGGATTTCTTTAGAATTAAAACTCTCAATTTACCTTTGATAAATAATTGTTTTCAATTTTTTCCATAATCAATTCAGGTGATTTATGCTCAAATGCCTTATAAGTTTCTAAATACCTACCAGCTTCCTCTGAACTGTAAGACAAGATTTATTTATTTTTTTGATTAATTTGATTAAGGTAAATGGAATTAGAAGTAATTTAAAAAAAAAAAAAAATAAGATACCTCCACGATAATATCATTGTAAAATTATTTATAACACATATTTTCGTAAGTTCTCGTATGGATTCTTTATGACTATCCTAAATTACGTTAAAACAAAAGAGTGAAGCCTTAAAATATATATTAAGAAAGTAATTAATTAAAAATATTTACAGTGTCAACGAGTACTAGCAAAATTCTTAGTGCATATGAATTTACTAATTTATCTATTCTATTATAAATATATTCAGGATGAAGTCGCTGATATCTAAGACTAAAGAATAAACGCGTAATTAATTTTTTTTAATTCAAGAGCATAAAAGATACGTGATAATACCATTAACATACCTTAAGAATAAAGCACAAGTTGTTTGACCCACTACATAATCAGGAACAATATCACCAAATTCCCAAGGTACATTACGTATAAATTGTAATAAAGGATTGCCTCTCTATAAAAAAAAAAAAAAAGAGAGAGAGAAACTTTTAAAATTATAGCTCTTCTTAAATGCTCCAAGAAAATCTTCCTATACTTGGATAATACCTGGCATCCATTAACAATAATCGAATTTGTAGTATAACCAGCACGTTTATTAATAGTTGTGAACGATTTATTTGTATTTAAAAGTAATCCCTTATCTAAAACTTCTCTTGAACATTTAAGTATATGCTCAAATCTAATCGGTCCTAATAACTGCCCTCCAAACCACCTTGTAACAACTACTACAACATTCTTTGCTTCTAATGTTTTCAATAATGTCAAAACACGATTTCCTGCATATGTTTCTCCATCATCGTGATATTCTTCTATGAAACTTCCGTCGGATGACTGTATACGATAAGCTAATACATTATGTGTTGCTCCCTTTTCTGTTGATTGTATTTTTCTCCAAAATGATTCAGCTTCTTCCTTGGTTGTAGCTTTTTTAGCATGTGCTACGAATTTACTTTTCCGATCTATTATGCTAGAACTGTGAAATGAAGTTGGTAACGCGTTGTCTTTGTCTGAAGCTGAATCAACTCCGGTTACCAAGGTTGTTTCGGTAGATTCCTTCACGTCAATTTGCATTTCTTCTCTCATAATTACGTGTCGTAATGTGTCGTAATCAAAATAACCACATGTTGATCTCCATTTATTTTTTTGGCAATAAAACAACTATATATTTTGGATATATGGTCAAATAATCTTTACATTCAAGTAATTTTAACCTATTAAAAAAATCTCCGATTTGTTTGTCTAAATAGAAAGCATTTTTTTTATTTTAAAGACAATCATATTTTAGATTATATTATGAAATAACAGATAAGGTTATAATTTTTTTAATCTACTATCGTTATTAATGTTAAACAAAAGGACATAGATCAATCAATGGTTAATCAAACTCCACAAAAAGAATTACACTGCTACTTTAAAACTCGAACAGTCAGAGAAAAGAACAACAGCTATTGCATCCACTCCTGTTTTGTATGTCCCCTTCTTTCGGAAGTCTGATTCTGCACAAACATACGCGATCAAATATGGTGTAATTTTAGTTCTTTTTATATTATTAGTTATATTATTTTTTAGTTAAGTTTACTTGGATTAATACATTTCATTTGTTGATAATTTTTTTATATAATTAAAACTAGCCAGTATTTTTTTTTCCCAGTATCCATGGAATACAAGGGAGAAGGTAGTAATTACACAGCCATTTATCCAATAAAACGATATATCAGATTAGTTGATGATTTGATATGATATAATACAAAGCATTTTTTTTGCTTACGCGCGTTCATATTTACAGATCGATTTTATAAGAAAGATATTATTTTTTTTAAAAAAAATAATTGAATTGAATGTAGTGGTTTTACCCGGATATACGGATTACTATCAATGAGCAATCAAATAAATCCGGATATATCTGCATGGATAAGTTCAGATTCACAAATGATCCAGATATAGATTTATCTGGATAATAATGGATAAAACGGATAAAAAACTTATCATTTATCGACGTGTCAATCTTCTTTTCAACTACGTCACATGTTGTTAGCATTGCATGTCAGAAATGTGTGGTGCAGCAACCGCGCCTCAGCCACATACTGTCACGTGACTATAATGCCGGCCGTAGTGCCAGCCCAAAATTAAGCGGCCGAAGTCATTGTACCGTAGCAAACAGTATATCGCGTTAATTTAGTTTTATTTTTATTAAAAAAATTTTGTAAAATGAAAGAAAAATTATAAAAATATTTTGAATAAACGTTCTTCACGTCTTTTTTTTTTTTTTATTAAAAACTATATGTATAAATGTTCTTTATACAATATTATCAAATTATTTTAAAGTTTAAAATATTAATCGTACTTGAAATCCTGTGTGAGATGATATATTCTCTTCATTTCGTCCATTGGTGACCTTAAAAAAATTAAAAAAAGATGCATTTTATATAAGCTAATTGTAAAATGTAACATAAATAAATTTTTATTAAAAAATGTTAAAAAAGATTTATATACACAAAAATATTATAAATGCTAATGCAAATACCTTACCTTAATTCAGTTGATTTTTTCCTATATTTTTGCTTAGACTATGTGCCTTTTTGCCCATTTTTTTTTTGTTTTTTGATTAGGGATAGTCTGAGGATCCAAATTTTCCTTATTTTTAATAGTAGGTAGTTTTCTTTTATGACTAGACCCTTCCGTTTTACATTGTTTAACAGATTCAACTTGAATTGGAATCATAGATCCACTTCTATTACGAATAGTCAGATCTACGTGACTAGAAATATCATAAAGTAAGGCTGTCAGATGAGGGATAAATACTGATTTTGCTATTTGATACCAGTTTATAAATTTATCTAATGCAATACGCAATTGCAAATCGGAGTTTAAGTAATCTTCCTTGATCTCTTCTAAGAAGAACATAAATTTGGAGCTATCGATTTCTTCAACCTTATTATTCGGTTCTCTATAAGATAGAACAAAGTTTTTATTTAAGAAAAATCGATAATAAAATGTAATTGGTAATATTATTAAATTAACAAACCTATACTCGCTATTTACTATTCCTTTTGTTTGTTCTGTTTGTAAACTTCTCCAATCCTATAAAGAAAGTTCTGTACATTCCAATGCATCTTGATTCTGTGAAGCAGGTTCTAAATGTAACGATGTATAAAAAGATCGATTTTTTGTGACATATCCTAAAAAAAAAATAAAGTTAATTTTTGTATATTGATTAAAAATATGCCATAAATGCTATCTTATCAAGTGCGATATACAGTCAATTCTTTCTACAGCGAATTTTGATATAACGAATTTTACAATACAACGGATTTTCAGTGTCAGACAGAT